GAGGACTGGAGAGAGAGAGAGAGAGAGAGAGAGAGAGAGAGAGAGAGAGAGAGAGAGAGAGAGAGAGAGACGATTGAACACGAGTAGTAATGTGTGTTTTTCATTTCAGTTTGATGGCATGGATTAACTGTTTTGGAAGTTTTTTTTTTCTTTTCTTTTTTTTTTATGGTCTTAAATAACGTCTTTTGTTTCCTTCTTTTTAGGAGGAGAGGAAAAACCTGCTTGTCAAAACGATGTGTGTAAGCTATTTATTCTTTTTTATTTTCATTGTTTGCAATTGTGTAACGACATCCAGATAAAGCCGGTCGAAGCAGTCCATCTCAACCCCCGTTCCGTTGTTTATTATCTTTTTTTTTGGTTCTCTGTGCCTTTTTTTTTTGTTTTTTGGGAAAGTTTTTCTTCTTTTATCCTGTCCCGCCCTTTCTTGTTCACCTTGGGATTATAGGCGAATTTGTGAAATTTAAAAATAAAATGAGGTTGCAAGTTCCTGTTCTGCCCTTCCTCTTTTTCTCTCGTTTTCACAAATGTTATACTGATCTACGGTGATTATTTTTATCATTATTATTATTACTATTATTATTATTATTATTACAAAAAATAAGGTGAAAATGATTATCGCCGTAAATTCAAGTGTTGTTGCGTTCAGTCAATTTACACAGCGTTTGAATTAAGCTTGTGCTACTGATGGGTACTAGAAAGTGACGCCGATGGGTACTACAAAGTGACGCCGATGGGTACTACAAAGTGACGCCGATGGGTACTAGAAAGTGAGGCCGATGGGTACTAGAAAGTGACGTCGATGGGTACTAGAAGTACCTTTCTAGAGGAAACCCCGAAAGGTGGCGCCGATGGGTACTAGAAAGTGACGAAATTTGAATTAAGCCACCGGTAGCGCTACTGAGCAAAACAAAATTGGATGATTAGACAGGGCCTCAATTTCGATGGGAAAAAGTTATAGAATCAGTTGTAGATTGAAGCGTAAAAAAAAAATAATAATAATAAAAAAATAAAAATAAAAAATAAAACGTAAACCCAAACCGATACAGGTGAACAAGTAGAGTGTTCAAAGGCACTTGAGATAACCAAGTGTTTCATTAATATTAATATTAATATAATTATAATTATATTATTTATTAATTTATTATTGTAAGGCCTCAATTTCCGGGGAAAAACTTATAGAATCAGTTGTAGATTGAACCGTAAACCCAAACCGACACAGGTGAACAAGTAGAGTGTTCTGAGGCACTTGAGATAACCAATTGTTTCATTAATATTGATTAATATTAATATAATTATATTATAATAATTATATTATTTATGAATTTATTATTGTAATTTATTACATAAATGATATAATAATATGAAAAATATGAAACGAAAATAGAAGAAAAGAAAGGAAAACAATGAGGTTGTAGGCTATTTAACCATGTACAGAGGAGGGGAAATAAATAATTCAAATAAAGGAAAAAAAAAGAACTTCCGAAGAGATTGGGGAAAAAAAGGTTTTTGTTGCAAAAAGGTGGAAAAGAAGGAAATAAATATTTATTTTAGGAAGAAAATTATCAAATTCAATAAATTGTCTATTTATTAATTTTATTTATTGCTGCTTTTACGATCCACGCTGCATTTTTTTTTTTTTTTTT